TACTTAGGCCAGACAGATAAAGATCTTGCAACTAGAATTAAACAACACAAATACAGTGTTAGGACAGGCCAGGAATCCAATGCTCTGTTTGTTCATTTGAGGGATAACAAGCATTGCATTGACTGGGATAATGCCTCCTCAATATTACCATGTAATTCAATTGATAGTAGGAACATCATAGAATCTAGTCTTATTAAACATACCGAAGCATTCAACATGAATTTGAGTAACGGCATGTACATGCTGGACAATTTTGTAATTAAGAAGATTTGTGACCAGGTGAGAAGGCCGGGTCACCTGACCTGACCACCAACCGTTGTGTGCTATTTAAAGATTAGTAGGGTCATTACCTAATACCTGACCATTGTGGACCTGGTCTCACCCTTCTCTGTATATATACACCTTGATTTGTATTTCTTTCTCTAGTCTGTACTCACCCCTGAAGATGTGAATTACACGAAAGCGCTTTGGAACTTCGTGTTTTCTTCTTTCCTTGTGGTTATCAGCATATATATATTTATATATATATATATATATATATATATATATATATATATATATATATATATATATATATATATATATATATATATATATATATATATATATATATATATATATATATATATATATATATATATATATATATATAGTTATCAGCATATACCTGGATCACGCGCAACTACAGTGATTTACTTGCATATATGCAAATATATATATTTATATATATATATATATATATATATATATATATATATATATATATATATATATATATATATATATATATATATATATATATACTGTTAATGAATATGATGTATTTCTTTGTGTATGAACCTCTGTCCTGCGTGGCAGTGAGAAGTATACCACCCTCAGTGTTGAACCTGACTGAATTACTCAGGATAGGCAAACTGTACTCCAAACTTCGTCAATACATTTGTTAAACTAAAAAACTTGTTGATGGTGCATGATTGGCATCTTTCTCGGTGGTGGAGGAGGAGGAGGGAGGGGGGGAGGTATTTTAAAAGCATTTTTTGGTAAGTTCGTTTAATTTCATAATAATTTATAAGGTAAACCTGTAACCAATAGTAAGCAGGAGATCCCGGCTCCCATGACTACAATAAGGAAAGAGGTCTGACGATGTGAGGAAGAGTTCTGTGTATGAGATCATGCCACTTTTCCATACTTGCTTCATAATCATCAACATAATTAATTTGGGAATTTATTAATATAAGCTTATTAATAATGAACATGGGGAGAGCTAGTTTTCGAAGTTTAAAACAATCACAGTCAGCACCGGTAAATTTGTTTTATCATAATTTAATAACATTTACGAAAAAAAAACCTGTTAGCCTTTTACTATTATACTTTTATCCTCTTCGCCACTGATCGTCTCGTTAGCCTCTTGGGTGGTAGGTCACGTCTCTGTTACGCACTGTTGGCAGATGCTGGGCATGAACTGGCTCCTGAATATATCAGAACCTGCTCCAATGTTGGTCAAATCTGGTCTTCAAGGAGCTCTCACTCGGTGCCCTAACAACACTCTCTAGCAGATTGTTCCAAGAGTTCAAAATTCTCACTCCGAAAAAGTTCGCCCTCACAGTTTTCTGAACTTGTGGTTTCTTCGACCTTGAGCTGTGACCCCTTGTAGGGTAGGCGTCCTCTAGCTCCGGGTATGGACACTCGCCTGAGTAGTGCCCGCTGTTCATTGGCAAAATGACAGGTAATAGTTTTTATCTTCAGTTACTATAAACTTTAGAAAACAAAGCAAAATATAAAATGTCTAGCTGAAATGTAACTTTGATGTAGTGGCAAGGCTGAAGGCAGAAAAATAATCTGTACACCCTCCCCAAGCCAATCTGTGGTGTATCTACTGACGCTCCATCTTAAGCACACTCGGTCAGGTAAATTGCGTGTAAACATCACGACCCAGACGTCTACCTCAAAGAAAATTCGACCTGTCGATAACTTAGTCAGTCATACACAAACACATGAGGCTCGTGGATGACTGACCCTTGTATGTCACTACCCGAGCCCGTCCACACACTGGCTTACGTATTTAAAAATGTATACTTCCTACTCGTGATGTCGTACCTTACGGCAGGATTTTCACTTCATTGGTATAAGGTCTGATATTTCAGCACCTAAATGTTTCATGATCTGCGTTATTTTATGTCCGAAGGTAAACACAAACTGCACATGCACTAGAGGCTACGTGTGTAATGACATTGAGTCTGGCAGCAACTGAATCTTATATTTAAATGATAAAAGCCGAGAAATCCTGAATACTGATGTGTAGGGATGTTATGTGGCCACCGTGCCATCTGGAGAGTAACTGACTCCTCTCTTTGGAGAAAAAAAATTCCATCTCTTAGAGGGGCAGAAGATAGTTTGGGGTCCCTTCCGCTGACTTGAGAGGGACATGGCCCCTATGGTTTCCCTGGATTCGCCCTACTGACAATAAATTATGGTACTAAGAGTTCAGCAATAGCTACCAGTACTTATACATTTATTTAATCAGCAATTATGTCATTGATTTGTTTGCTGTTTCTATAATTTTTTCTTAAGATATATACCATAATCTTACCTAACCAGCTCCCCAGGTAACAAGTATGTGTTTAATCGGCAGGTGAAATAAATAGCATTCAACTCTGAATAGTTTTAAGGCTGAAAACCGTTATATAACCCTGTGTAATTTCGAAGCTAATCTTTTACCTTTACATTAAAGGCGAGATGATGAGTGGGTTAGGGTTAGTGGAGACTCACAAGTGTCACTGGATGACGTAAACTCGTTCCCCGTTGTCCTTTATAAGGTGATGGAAGAGTAGAGGCAGCACAGTGGGTGTAAGCCTTTAGTCACTCCAACCAGTACTTGGGAACCCCAGTAACGTTGTCCATTGTTTCTCACATAAGCCAGGATGCGTACTCAGTACTCGCTTGGGCGGTCTCCATGCTAGTAAGTATAACATGCTGGTAACCCTCACCCTGCAGTATGATCAATAGGAACACTTACTGAGCCTCGGTACTAGTGTTCAGGTCAGTATGTCTTGCTGAGTTTAACGTACACTCATCCTCTCTGGTTACTCTTGATTTAATAGTTCCACCACTTATCACTTTACCAGTCGTTCGGTGGGTGGGTCGTTCTATTCTCTGTTCCTTTGTGAAGACTTTCATCGTAATGCAGTGTAACACGCAATCGAACGCATTTATTTAGCAAATAATAAGTACAGACACAATAGGAAGGTACCGTACAATAACTAACAGAGAGCAGCACTACGAAAATGCTCAACAACTCGTGACTGGATGGTTGTGTCGCTGACAATTACTTATGTATGTACACCCGCCAAAAGAGTCCTGTCAATCCACTCCGTCATTCATGAACCCCGTGAATCATCTTTCTGTGAATCGAAACAACACACACTAGTTCCACTTTGTGTGTTGTTTGGGATCCAGGATGATTCAAGGTATGGATGAGAGAACTGAGAAGGACTTTATTTTGTACAGCGAAGACTTAATGAAACAAAAATGGACCTCAAATAGATATGACAATGTTAATTGTTTACAGGAAGAAATATTACACTGGTTATAAAAAGCTATATTGTGATGTTATACTGTACTGTATTAACATTTTGAGACAGATTAGTATGAAATATATTTAACAAGTTTATCAAGATTTAAATAATAGTAGAGAGAGAGAGAGTCTTATTACTGAAGGCATAAATACGTGTGGTATTGTGGGGCGTCAGAAGCGAGGCTTCAACAGTCACTGTGGCCAAGTAAGTCACTCTGAGTTTATTGTCACTGTGTTAACACCTAGCCGTTCTTCATTTCCCAAAGTGTTAGTTGTTGCTGTGCTGTATGAAATTCTTATTTTTATTTTGCCTAATACTCCCCGTCTGGCAGTCAAGAAAATAAACTTACATTGTATACTATTACAGGAACACTGGTAAAGGTGGTGACGATTGGCAGATTCAACAAGGGCAATGATTGGGAGATTCAACCTAAGGGGCGATGATTGGCAGATTCAACCAAAGCAAGTAAGATATCATGTGGTAAATCTCGTCCATGTCATTGCGACAATTGCTGTTTTAAGGTGTCTTTAACTCAGTGAGACACAGTACATTACATCACTGTTGTTTGGGTTGCAAGTACAGTACTGTATTGTTAGGTAATCAGTGCGATTGTCATGGCCTCTATATGTTTAAAAAATTAACTTTGCGAATTAGATAATTATTGTATAATTAACTCATGAGGTCTGTGTGATAACATCATTACAGGTAGTTTCGTGTCCTGTGGAGAGCACACCCTAGAACCCGGCACTTCGGTAGGGATTCAGTCCAAGAACTTTCCCAACAATACCCCAACCGCCATAATTGTGTGTGGACCTTCAGGTGAGTGTCTGATCTACCTGCGTGAAGAAAGGGGTGATATCGGGATGTCTCTTCTGTTGGTATAACTCTCACTCATCTAGCCTAAAGCAGTGGTTTATTTTTTATATATATATATATATATATATATATATATATATATATATATATATATATATATATATATATATATATATATATATATATATATATATATATTTCATTAGCCAATAAGAACGTGGGATTCTACATATAGTCACCTCACCCCGCCAGGATTCGAACCCATGACCCGACTGTGACTTGGGAAGGCCACCTCTGGACCAACAGGATACTAAAGCAGTCCTAGACTTGTTATATTTCACAAAAGCCTGTTCAACGAGCTCGTTGAACAGGCTTTGATAGTACAGAGCAGGTTCGAATCTCTGGCAGGTGAGGTGATATATATATATATATATATATATATATATATATATATATATATATATATATATATATATATAATATTGTGTGCGTGTATTGTGTTGAAATGCATTTAAGATAACTCTGTACTGCCCATAATTTCAAACTTAACATTATATCATCTTTTCTGAAACATGATACTAAGGCAAGATGTATATCTTTAGGCATCAGCTTCAGACTCCACCATCTCCATCGACTGCGCACATTCAATTTAAAGAATTCCAGGAGGTGCAGGGGTGACGTTCTCCTCCTTGAAGACGGCAATACATTAAACAACAGGTGATATATTTTAAAAGACAATGGCGTCTCTTGTCATTATTCTGTTAAATATTGAGAGCTTTGACGGGGGCACCACACGACTGCCAACAGCTACAGTAAAGTATACAGTAAAGTATACAATACTTTATTTATTTTTATATCCATTAATTAATCTGAACCAACATATAAGATAAAAGTACAATATGATATAATAAACTAATGTATTAATTACTTAATCACTATCACCCGACTTTGTGTTCCCTCAGATTCTGCGGCAACCTTGGAACTCTCAGTGAAGGAGGCGACACTGACCTTTTGAATATTGTTTTCAAGACAAACAGAAGAGGAAAAGCTCAAGGTTTCTCCTGTGTTGTGTCCCCTCTGGTAAGTTCTCGACTGGTAAAGTTCAGTATAAACCTAACCTAACCTAAGTAGATCCCAGTGTTAAGGGTCCCAGTGTTAATGGGTCCCAGTGTTAATGGGTGCCAGTATGGGTCCCAGTTTTAATGGATCCCAGTCTTAATGGATCCCAGTCTTAATGGGTCCCAGTCTTAATGGGTCCCAGTGTTAATGGGTGCCAGTGTTAATGGGTCTCGTGTTATGGGTGCCAGTGTTAATGGGTGCCAGTGTTAATGGGTGCCAGTGTTAATGGATCCCAGTGTTAATGGGTCCCAGTCTTAATGGGTCCCAGTCTTAATGGGTCCCAGTCTTAATGGGTCCCTGTCTTATTGGTTGCCAGTGTTAATGGGTTCCAGTCTTAATGGGTGCCAGTGTTAATGGGTGCCAGTGTTAATGGGTGCCAGTGTTAATGGGTGCCAGTTTTAATGGATCCCAGTCTTAATGGGTCCCAGTCTTAATGGGTCCCAGTCTTAATGGGTCCCAGTCTTAATGGGTCCAAGTCTTAATGGGTCCCAGTCTTCATGGGTCCGTCTTAATGGGTGCCAGTGTTAATGGGTTCCAGTCTTAATGGGTCCCAGTATTTATGTGTCTGAGTGTTAATGGTCCCAGTTTTAGTGGTCCCAGTCTTAATGGGTTCCAGTCTTTATGGGTCCCAGTCTTAATGGGTTCCAGTCTTTATGGGTTCCAGTCTTTATGGGTTCCAGTCTTTATGGGTCCCAGTATTTTGGGTCCCAGTGTGATTGGTCCCAGTCTCAATGGGTCCTAGTCTTTATGGGTTCCAGTCTTAATGGGTCCCAGTCTTAATGGGTCCCAGTTATAATGGGTTCAGTCTTATGAGTTCTCAGTCTTAATGGGTTCCAGTCTTTATGGGTCCCAGTCTTAATGGGTTCAGTCTTTATGGGTTCCAGTCTTTATGGGTCCAGTCTTAATGGGTTCCAGTCTTTATGGGTCCCAGTCTTTTGGGTCCCAGTCTTAATGGGTTCAGTCTTTATGGGTCCCAGTCTTAATGGGTTCCAGTCTTTATGGGTTCCAGTCTTTATGGGTTCCAGTCTTTTTGGGTCCCAGTCTTAATGGGTTGCTTTATAGGTTCCAGTCTTTGATCCCAGTCTTATGGGTTCAGTCTTTATGGGTCCCAGTCTTTATGGGTCCCAGTCTTAATGGTTCAGTCTTTATGGGTCCCAGTCTTTATGGGTTCAGTCTTAATGGGTCCCGTCTTAATGGGTCCCAGTTATAATGGGTTCAGTCTTTATGGGTCAGTCTTAATGGGTCAGTCTTAATGGGTTCAGTCTTTATGGGTCCCAGTCTTAATGGGTTCCATCTTTGGTCCCAGTCTTTATGGGTTCAATCTTTATGGGTCCCAATCTTAATGGGTCGCAGTCTTAATGGGTTCAGTCTTTATGGGTCCCAGTCTTTATGGGTCCCAGTCTTAATGGTCCCAGTCTTAATGGGTCGCAGTCTTAATGGGTTAAAGTCTATATGGGTCCCAGTCTTTATGGGTTCCAGTCTTTATGGGTCCCAGTTTTAATTGGCTTGTTTCATACAGACTTCAGTTTCAACAGGTGCCAACATAGCCTAAGACCAGGCCTCACCTGACATTATTTATTGGTTCAGTCACCTGACATAACACAACAACTTTCTTCATTGGTCATCAGTTCAGCTGTTAACATGAAACAGTCTTTTGAACCAAACATTTTTGTGTTGCTTAACGCCGAGTGAGTGTGAGCATCACCAACCCTCCACCTTGAATACTGTACCACCTTTAGTAACACCTTGACTCAAGCTGTGATAAGTGATTCTTGAACTAGAGCACCGGTAAGTAATTACTGTATAAGATGTGTAACTGGTCGTAAATATGTACGCACATTATATAACCATGTAAGTACAATATTGTGATACACGAGAGACTGATAATACATCTCAGTAATAGTTGCTGTAGAAACAAGACTCACCCTTAGATGTGGCGGTACATTGTCACCATCACTTGGTGGAGTCTCAGCCGGCTGTTTCCTGCCAACAGTATCTCTTATTACTGGATTGTAACATCTAGTCTATCTTTTTTTTTTTCACACCCTCTTCACCACTCATTGGTTAATTAGCTGCTTGGGCGATCGGTCACGTCTCTGTTAACCACTGTTGGCAGATACTAGGCATGCACTGGCTTCTGAATTTCTCTGAACATGTTCTAGTGCTTATCAAATCTGGTCGTGAAGGAGCTCACACCCGGTGCCGTCACAACACTCTCTGGCAGATTGTTGCAAGAGTTCACAACTCTCACTCCAGAAAAGTTGCCCCTCACAGTTTTCTGGGCTTTACTCAACCTTAAGTTGTGACCCCTTGTGGGGCAAGCGGCTCCAGGTAAGGACACTCGACTGAGTGGTGCCCTTTGAGATGTTTCTATACCTCAATTAGGTTACCCCTTGCCCGTCTGTGGAATAAGGTTAGGCAATTTCAGGCGCTCTAATCTCTCAGGGTAGCTGAAGTTCCGAAGTGCAGGCACCAGTCTAGCGACCGTTCTTTGACATTTTTAGTCAACTGACAGTCCCTAGCCATATTTCGGGTTCCAGACGGGGAAGCACCTCAATCTTGAAGATCGTTACGAAGAAAGGCCCGTCTAGATATCTGAACGACCTTCTTCAGAGACCTAATAATTTAGTTGCCTGAATCACCTTATTCTCGCAATGGCCCGATAACTTCAGCTTATTGTCAATATACACTAGTTTCTCTGTCCGTTGGGACTGCCCTCCTTACTGTTGGTACTTAACAGGTGCAGCCTCTTACACTTCGGTACATTGAATATTAACAGCCATTTCTTCGACCATTCTTCAAGCTCACAGAGATCCTTCTGCAGCTCTTGACAGTCTGCTTGGTTCTTAATTTCGAAATAGCTTGGCGTCATCCTCAAACATTTGTATGGAGGAGTGTACAGCGTCAGGCATGTCATTTAAGAAGCAAACAAACAACAGCGGTCACAATACACTACCCTGTGGTACCCAGCTTGTGATGGGTACGCATGATGATTTCGTGTCATTAATCACCACACACTGCTTGCAGTCATGGGGAAAGTCTCAATCTTCGCCAGGACATTTCCTCGAATCCGTACCTTTCAATTTAATTTTCAGCCTTTCATGGGGTACGCTGTCGAAAGCCTTGGCAAAATCTAGGTATATATTGTCGATATTGCCGCCCTGTTCTAGAATTTGGATCAAACGTCCAGTACTTTGAGTAATTGTGTTAAGCAGGCACCTGGCATAAAACCGTGTTGGCAATCCTTTACAAGGTGGTTTCGTAGATGTTCCATCATGGCATCTCTTATAATGCTTTTAAATACTTTATATACTATGCTGGTGAGGCTCACCGGTCCACAGTTATTTGTGGGTGACGATCGCCCTTCTTTAAGATAGGACTCGCATAAGCCATTTTCCAATCACAGGGGACCTTTTGCTCATCCTGGCATTTGCAGAACAGGATCTTCAGGGGCTCAGGAAGCTTGTTGCACAACTCTCTTAGCGCTCTGGGATGCACCATGTCAGGGCCGGGACTCTTATGAACCTTTAGCTTTGACAGTTTATTTCTTATAACCTCTTTTGTGAAGGCAGTGTGGGTCACTGCTGTGTCGAACTGTCTTCAATATAGACAAAGTATGTCTATTATGAATGATTATTGTAATTATAAAGTTGTTAGATACTATGATAATTGTTGATAATATGTGATGAATGTTAATCTTTGTTTACGTCTCCAGGCAAGGTTCAGACCATCACCCAAGTCACTACTGACGTCACTGACATCTCCGTCGACAACGGTCAATGCTGTACGTTTTTAACTGAAACGAGTTGATTATATTTGTGTAAGACTAACGATGAAGAAAATGTACTGATTTGATATAGTAATATGTCATAGGCACAAATTTCAGATGGAAAACCATGAAAACTTTTCTACGCAAATATCAAGTTTCATAGACAAGGTAATACAGATGTAACATTTTATTTATCAGCCAAGTGTGGCACAGTGAACCGCGTCACCCGCATTGTGGGAGGAGTGGCGACGGAGGTGAATGAGTACCCCTGGCAAGCGGCACTCGTTGTAAAGGGAACCAACCAGGTTTTCTGTGGTGCTTCTCTCTATAATGATGGTTACGTTGTTACGGCTGCTCATTGTGGAAGCGTAAGTTATCGAGTTATTTGTTATTTTTCGAAAATCTGGATATAATATTTTTTCTTTTAACACTGTATTTTGTGGTTGTAATGCTTTATGTGTTTTTCATTAGAATAACTGATTATGGGATAGATGTGGAGGTTCTCCTAGGGGCACATGAACTGACCAGCTCCACCAGTGCCCAGCAGCGTATTTCTGTAGAAAGGATCATTAACCATGAAAGCTATGACAGCAGTACACAAGATAACGACATCGCTGTACTAAAGCTTGCCACAAAAGCTTCTTTGAATGAAAATGTTAAACCCGCTTGTCTTCCCAGCGTCAGTGAAGATTATACCGGCTTCACCGCCACTGTTTCTGGATGGGGAACGTTGAGTTCAGGTACTGTACTTTATAGCGTTACTTTAACATGGATGTACTTCATATACAGACTCAAGTAGTGCAGAGTAAATATGAAGCCTATGACTTTTGATCAAAGCGTCGCCAATATTTACCTGCAGGCGGTAGTCAACCCGATGTCTTACAAGAGGTTCAGGTTCCAGTGGTCAGTAACAGCGAGTGCCAGCAGTCGTATGGTAACAGCATCAGTGACATGCTTTGTGCTGGTTACGATGCTGGTGGGAAGGACTCTTGTCAGGTCAGTGTTCACGTACTCTGGAACAAATACAAGGAATCTCTGTATGAAATAAATGTATTTTTTTTCAGGACGATACATAAATCATATTAAAATGTTGGCAGGGTGATTCTGGAGGTTTGGCTGTAAGGAGAATGGCAAGTGGGTGTTGGCAGGTGTGGTGTCATGGGGCTATGGGTGTGCTATGCCCAACTACCCAGGAGTCTACGTTCGGGTCACTAGTAAGTTAAATCTCAATACTTATGTCATATAACGTCGAAGTCTTCTTGGAAACCGTTAATAGTATGTGCTCAAGACTGTTATAAATATTTGACTTGATATAAGAGCCAATTTTGCAGAGTATTTGGACTGGCTGAAGGCTAAGACGAGTGAAGGAAGCAACGACTTGTGTTTTTCTGGTCAAGGGTCAGGCTCAACCACTAAGACTCCAGCAGCAACTACCGTCCCTTCAGCTACAAGCTGCAGTATGTATAACGTAATCTGTTGTTGTCTCTTTGTGAATCGGGACAAACCGGTCTGCTGTGTCTGTACATCAAAACATAAACATCAATATATATATATATATATATATATATTATATATATATATATATATATAATAATAATATATATATATATATATATATATATATATATATATATATATATATTAGAATGTCAATTTGTGAATCTAGCAACTATTTAATCAAATCATCTAGTTCCTGAAAATCTTTTGTCTGTATTATAACGGTAATATTTGTAGTAGTAGGTAGCTACTAAACAGGGAGGTACTACCGCCTGGGAAGATATTGGAAGCATAATGTATTGTCTAATGGTAGACCCTGCTGCCATATGGCATCACGAAAATTGTGACCAAGTCCCAGGTTGCTGACCTGACTTTCTGCCTCATTTACATACAATTGCAGGGTCTCAATTGTTTCTCTTACCATTGACAACACAACATACATATATTATTTCCTCTTGATCCCTTTTCCATTTTAGTATTTCTTTATTATGATTATTATTATTATTATTATTATTTTTTATGATTATGATTATGATTATTATTATTATTATTATTATTGCAGTGTTGTTTTCATTAATATTATCATTATATTTTATTTGTGTATAAATTTTACTTTTACTGAATTATTATTACACCCAGGCCCCGATGTGGGTCATTGTCCTGTGCCTTTGTGGGCTAATCCTCATAAAAAAAGGCTTATTTACATGTTGGACGTTTTCAAATGTTAGTATGTGGTGTTAAATATATGCAAGGATTAAGAAGTTGTGTGATGTTGTGGGTACAGAGTGTGGACAAGCAACCGACAGACTCGTATCGTGGGTGGTCAGCCAACTGAGATACACGAGTATCCCTGACAAGTGGCTCTCGTCAGTTCTTCCGGCTCAACACCATTCTGTGGCGCCTCCATCATCAGTAACCAGTGGATCCTCACTGCTGCTCACTGCGCTGCCGTGTAAGTCACCAGGGCTCTCCATCTTGTGTTGGGTGACTACACTAATAAAAACATCATTCCTGGTAATTTCTAATATCCTCATCATCGGCTGACTAATCAAATGGCAATTAATCTTTAGGATTACGACCTATCGTAACGGACCGTCTGACCCGACTCTCTATATTCCCCGAGTTAATTAAATTTTGATTAAATTAGTTCATTATCATTATCATTAGCTATTATACAAAATAAGTTTACAAAAATGCACTTAAAATCAATCTTCAGCGGGCATGGGTAAAGGTTGATGTAGGGTTATAAACCCCAAACAATATATTATAAATAATTTTAAAAATATATATGTGGCAATATAATTTAACTTCATCGCCTCTTGCTACGTCCTATTGTCTTCAGTGAGCTACAGATCTTCATATCATGTAATGTTGTCCAAAACTTTATCCAGTATCATGGATAGATCATATTTACCTGTGGAAAGTTCTTCCTAAACACAAATCGTAATCTATAAACTTCTACAGTCTTCCAAATACCATTAAATAACTACAGACACCTGATCATTATGAAAACTCCTCTGTGCCTCAGATTCTCCTGCAGACAAATAAAACTTGCATATAAAGGTTTCATATCTTGCAAGTCAAGAAAGAAGCATTGGTAAAGAGAGAGAATAGTACTAGGAAGATCAAATATACTGGTGATGTGTGACAAAAGTGTAGGAGTAACACAGCTTATGTCTTAGCATGACCACCAGCGACATGGTGGTGATCGGCGAGCACAAGTACACCAGCACTTCGAGACGTCGGCCACAGAGCGCCTCAGTATTGCTCAGGTATGGCAACTCCTATGAAAGGTAACATTGTCTAACGGGCTTTTTAGCGATGGATCAAGTTATCAAATATCTCATCATCGTTTAGCTCAGTTACCATCTTTAAACTTGGCATGAAAATAAAATATAGTTTCACAAATATTACATTTATCAACTTACACACTATGACTGTCAGTGTTAATAAGGATGACTCATATTTGTTATCATCTACAAGTATGACCAATATTTTGTCTCAGGTTAGTTATGACAGCCTTGTCTCAGGTCAGTTTGTGGTTTGTTTGGTTTTTGTTGGTGTGTTTGTTGTTAGTTATGACAGTCTGTCTAGGTTAGTTATGACAGCTTGTCTCAGGTCAGATGCAGTCTTGTCTCAGGTCAGTTATGACAGCCTTGTCTCAGGTCAGTTATGGTCTGTTGTCAGTTACAGTTTGTCTCAGGTCAGTTATGACAGTCTTGTTTCAGGTCAGTTATGACAGTCTGTCTCTGGTTTGACAGCTTTCTCAGGTTAGTTATGAAGCTGTTCAGGTTTGACAGCCTGTTCAGGTGTTATGACAGCTTGTTCAGTGAGACAGCCTTTGTCTCTCAGGTCAGTTATGACAGCCTTGTCTCAGGCCGGTCGTTATGACAGTCTTATCTCAGGCTGCTGGTGACAGTCTTGTCTCAGGTTGCTGGTGACAGCCTTGTCTCAGGTCAGCAGACAGTCTTGTTTCAGGTCAGTTATAGAGTTGTCCGGTTAGTTTGACAGCTTGTTCAGGTCATTAGTCTTGTCTCAGGTCATATGACAGTCTTGTCTCAGGTCAGGTATGACAGTCTTGTCTCAGGTCAGTTATGACAGTCTTGTCTCAGGTCAGTTATGACAGCCTTGTCTCAGGTCAGTTATGACACTCTTGTGTCAGGTCAGTTGTGACAGTCTTGTCTCAGGTTAGTTATGACAGCCTTGTCTCAGGTCAGTTATGACAGTCTTATCTCAGGTCAGTTATGACAGTCTTGTCTCAGGTCAGTTATGACAGTCTTATCTCAGGTCAGTTATGACAGTCTTGTTCAGGTCATTAGTTGACAGTCTTGTCTCAGGTCAGTTATGACAGTCTTGTTCAGGTCAGTTATGACAGTCTTGTCTCAGGTCAGTTATGACAGCTTTGTCTCAGGTCAGTTATGACAGTCTTGTCTCAGTTAGTTACGACAGTCTTGTCTCTCAGGTTGTTATGACAGCCTTGTTCAGGTCAGTTATGACAGTCTGTCTCAGGTCAGTTATGACAGTCT